TGGATTAGATTGTTTAAAAAGTGCTATTTTACAGTGCACAAAGAATGTGGCTTAGAGCAAAATTGAAAAGACGTGGGTGCAGCAACGGTGCTGTGACTCCAAAACGCTTGGGAAACTCTGGACTAGGATATTTGAAATTCATGTACTAGCAGCATTGCTGGTAGGAGAGCTGGTCACACGAAAGCTTTTTCGTTAACCCTCTTGGGACGTAACCCTCTTGATCTCTCGCTGACTAGCAGTGAATCTGACACTGACGAAAACAATCAGGAAAGTAATGAAGACAATCAAAATGATGTTTATGATAATGTTGTGAATCCTTGGATTAGGATTAGTGGTTCTGAATTGGATAGAGATGATCCCTATGAATTTTTAGAAAAAAATAGAGCCTTTAAATATGCCTCATGGGATAAGCACCCCATTTGAGTACTTATGCTAATTTTTACACAATATATCATTAAAATGTTTGTGAGAGAGAATAATAATAATAACTAATAAGTATGCAGACAACTTTCTCAGTAACACCCAGCTCAAATAAACCATATTTGGATGCACAATGGTGAAAAGGACCGCTCTGTCTAAAGCAACCGAAAAGTACCCCGAGGACAGGAAAAGGAGTAGAACTCTGTGCCAGGGGTGTCTCAAGGGCCTCCATGGGCCTTATTTCCCAAAACATATGTGTTAAGATCCATTCATGCTTCATCCATCAAAAACTCACATAATTTAATAATTTACACCGGTTAGTCATGTTTATTCTCAGTCGAAATCGACGAGTCTGTTTACATGCGACATGCAGGAAAAATCATGTCTGGCTAGTTTTGCCACAACAATGGGTCTTTGGAGGCATTTGTCAGGAGATTAGTGAGTGTTTCATGTTTTGTGTACAATATAGATCAGCAGCTACACATCACACGTATGCGGATAATCACAGCACACATCCTGCTGGGCACAACAGTCATATCAGATCAATGGAGAGCATATAATATAATGCTATTGGCACCACTCCGGGATTGACTCATCAAACGGTCATTCATTCTGTTAAGTTTTTGGATCCAAACTCAGATGCCAATAGCCAATACCCAAAGCATTGAACATTTGTGGAAATCTGCAAAAGAGAGAAACAAGCGCCTCAATGGCACACACAGGCATATGCTCGATTTGTATATGTGCATTCATGTGGACATGTGGCATCAACGTGTTAAAGTAAATGGTTTTTATGTCTTCAACGCAATTCTAGACAATATTGTTCAATTTTGGCCACCACAGTAGCGGAGGACCTTTAAAGAAGTAAGTATGTTTTTATTCAAAATAACATTTGTTTTGCGAAGTGGATGCGTACACCGCGGCGGTGTACCTAGCGAAACCATCGGCTTTGGCCTGCGTAAACCGCGGCGGTGTACCTAGTGAAATCGTGGGCTTTGGCCTGGGTACACCGCGGCAAAAATGTACCATTGGCGTGGTTTTAAGATAATATGCTTATTAGAGAAGATCTTGTGTGGTCAAGTGGTAGAGTGGACGCTTGGGGATAATGAAGTTCAAGCTCAATTCCCAGTCGGGGATCGAGTTTTTTTCCCTCCCATTTCAGTTTTAAAATATTTTGTAGCAATTTAAACAATTTAAATATATGTTTAAATATTATATTAAATACACTTTATATATTTATATCTATATAAGTGTTTCAACAAGTTGTGCCGGCCTCTAACTTTGAAAATACCGGTCAATTTAGTAATAAGACTTTAGACATTAGAAAACAAACTTAAAGTTTCTGAAAGCGCATGTATAGTGTATGTAATATGTGTTAGAGAAACATTATGAATACTAAGTGACTAAGTGATATTCTATTGTATTTCAACATTCTTCGTGTAGTTGAATATTTGCATTTTACTTTTATGAACACCCAGTATATCATTAATATCATATAATTTTAATGTCATTAATGTGCATGGTCGTATTTCAACCTTGAACCATCTTGCTTTCACTATGCCTTATGCATTGGCAAAATGTACACACGATATCAAAGGTTCATTCACAACACTCAGTCTCACAGCAAATCTTTTGAAAACACCTCGATTTTAGAAACTTGCGGAGCGG